CCTGTGGTCCCAGCTACTTGGGAGGCGGAGGCAAGAGACTCGCTTGAGCCCAGGAGTTGGAGGTTGCTGTGAGCTGTAATGCCAGGGCACTCTATCCAGGGGGACAGCTTGAGGCTCTGTCTCAAAAAAAAAAAGAAGAGCAGAGGGAGCAGTGACATTTGAGAAAAGGTCATGTAGAAGGGGAAACAGCCTGTAACCCCTGATCGTGGTGGCATTGGAAGTTCATCCATACTTATCCGTCTTCCCTAGTCACACTGAATTACATTACTTTCCATGAGACTTCATTCTCTGCAGTTATCTTTTCTGGCCCCACACATTCCTCTGCAATACTTTCTCTAAGAGGTCCCCTCTACCCCTTGGAATACACTCTTCTTTTCCTAATCCTCTGACTAGTGGCCCCATCTAGCCCTTAGTAACATTTTCTAAGCCTGGGTCAGTACTTAATGCCTCTTCCCCTATTTCTTCCTTTAGAGTTGGTCTTTTCCCAAAAGTTTGAACTGTATGGTTTGAGTTTTTCCGCTTTCTCCTAGGAGCTCAAGCCAAGTGGCAGCAGCCAGAGGATGTTGCAGTGGCTGGCCACAAAGTCACCCAAAAAGGAAGACCCCAAAACACCCCAGAAGGAAGAGCCAGATGTGCCCCAGTGGTCCAGCCAATTCCTGCAGAAGAGCCCACTCCCCACCAAGAGAGGCAGCGCAGGGCTTCTGGAGCGATGGCTGAAGCGAGAGAAGGAGGAGGAGCCTGTGGCCAAGCGGCCTCACAGCCAGTGACCAGGCAGGACTTTTAGAGACCAAGGGCAGGGTCTGCTGCACCAGTACTTGATCTTGCTGATAAAAGCTTCTTGCCTTGTATGTGTACGTTTGCTTTGGAAAGAGGTGGCACAGTGCTAGTTAACAGTTGTGGTGTTATGGAGAAGCGGCCATCCTGACTATGACTGGGAGCCCCTGGCAGGGCTAGTAGGCAGCCTTAGGTGAGCCCGCAGCCATCACTGGCTGTATGCCTCATAGGGACACTGTGCCTGTTGCTCTTCTTGGCAGGGCTGGTGAATCCTTCCTTGAAGCCTGTCTGACCCTTCTGGGAACTCTCAGCCCTGACCTGGTGTTCCTAGCATGAAGGTCTGCCAAGCCTCTGGGCTCTTAAGTTCTTGAAAGGCTGGGCAAGGTGGCTAACGCCCGTAATCCTAGCACTCTGAGAGGCCTAAGTGGGTGGATTGCCTGAGCTCACAAGTTTGAGACCAGCCTAAGCCAGGCAAGACCCCGTCTCTAAAAATAGCTGGGTGTTGTGGTGAGCACCTGTAGTCCTAGCTACTTGGGAGGCCGAGGCAAAAGAATCACTTGAGCCCAAGATTTTGAGATTGTGAGCTGTGACGCTACAGCATTCTACTGAGGGGCAACAAAGTGAGACTCCGTCTCAAAAAACAAAAATCAGTTCTTAACATGTATTTTTTTTTTCTGAATAAATTATATTTGATAAACCTCTGCCTACATTTTGAAAAAATGCTGGTGGGAAAGAGTTCTGGATCTTACCCAGTTTTCTCCTGGCATCAATCCTAAAGAATGGATTTTGTGGCCAGGCACAGTGGCTCACACCTGTAGTCCTGGCATTCTGGGAGGCCAAGGCAGACGGCCTGCTTGAACTCAGGAGTGGATTTTGTCACAAATGGAGCACTGGGGCCTTCTGAGGAAGAAACTACAAAAATGTGGTGGGCCCTTTTGTTGTGTCTCTTTTCTTTTTTGAGACAGAACCTTACTTTATTGCCCTCGGTAGAATGATGTGGCATCACAGCTCATGGCAACCTTCAGTTCCTGGGCTTAAGCGATTCTCTTGCCTCAGCCTCTCAAGTAGCTGGGACTACAGAATGTCTGGCTATTTTTTTGTTGTTGCAGTTTGGCCAGGGCCAGGTTCAAACCCACCACCATTGGTATGTGGGGCGGTGCCCTACCCACTGAGCCATAGGTGCTGCCCTGTTGTATCTCTTTTCATTCTTAATACTTGGAATATGGCTTGGCACCTGTAGCTCAAGCAGCTAAGGTGCCAGCCACATACCCTAGAGCTGGCGGGTTTGAATCCAGTCCAGGCCTGCCAAACAACGACAACTATAACCAAAAAACAGCCAGGTGTTGTGGTGGGTGCCTGTAGTCCCAGCAACTTGGGAGGCTGAGGCAAGAGAATTGCTTAAGCCTAGGAGTTGGAGGTTTCTGTGAACTGTGGTGCCACGGCACTCTACCCAGGGCAACAGGTTGAGGCTCTGTCTCAAAAAAAAAAAGACAAAAAAAAACTTGGAAGTTGTCTGAATCCTTCACATTAAAACCAACCTGAGTCCAGTCTTGCCATATTTAACTCAAGGGGCCAAGGCAAGAACTGAGCACCTAGGCTCAAACCCTGTCCTTACACAGGGAGCACTGGGCTAGTGACTTCACCCTGAAAAGACTCCTAGTCTCTGGGGTGACAATGAGCGTTGGGGCCTTCATTCTGGGGGCTGTAACTAAGGCTATTAGGTAGGGACTGACTACCTTCTCCAGCCTGGGTCAGAGCTCCTGTGATTCATTTTTTGGGTTTTTTTTTGTTTGTTTGTTTTTTGAAGCAGAGTCTCACTCTTTTACTCTGGGTGGAGTGCCCTGGCATCATCACTCACAGCAACCTCAAACTCTTGGCCTCCATCCATCCTGCTGCTTCAGCCTCCTGAATAGCTAGGACTGCGGGTCTCTGCCACAATGCCTGACTAGGTTTTTTAGAGATGGGGTCAGGCTGGTCTGGAACTCTTCTGAGTTCAGGCAATCCACTTGCCTCCCACCTCCCAGAGTTCTAGGATTAGCTCTGATGAGCTACCACAGCCCCCCAGTCCCTGTGATTTGTTCTGCTGGTACCCGTTCGTGGCACTGAATCACTTTTTAATTAGATAGGATGCAGGGAAGGTGTATCTATTTCTGTGTCCTTGTCCAGATCATTAGTTTCATGAAAGCAAAAACCACTTTTTTAGGCTGGGTGCAGTGGCTCATGCCTCTACCTCTGGGAGTTATATTGTAGGCCAAGGTGGATGGATTGCTTGAATTCAGGAGTTGGGGACATGCCTGAGCAAGAGCCAGACCCCATCTCTACTAAAAAATAGGAAAAAAAAAAAAAAAAGGCCAGGGATTGTGGTGGGCGCCTATAGTCCCAGGTACTCAAGCATGATGCAGGAAGATCTCTTGAGCCCAGAAGTTTGAGGTTGCAGTGAGCTATGATGATGCCACCGCATTCTATCTAGAGTAATAAAGTGAGACACTGTCTTAAAAAACAAAAAGAACCAGCTCGGCGCCTGTAGCTCAAGCGGCTAAGGCCCCAGCCACATACACCAGAGCTGGGGGGTTCGAATCCAGTCCAGGCCTGCCAAACAACAACTCCAACCAAAAAATAGTCGGGCGGGCTGCGGGCGCCTGTAGTCCCAACTACTTGGGAGGCTGAGGCAAAACAATCGCTTAAGCGATTGTAAGTTGCTGTGCGCTGTGACACCACGGCACCCTACCCAGGGCGACAGGTTGAGGCTCTGTCTCAAAAAAAAAAAAAACTTCTTTTTTGTCATTGTAGAGGTGTGCAAATACTGTCCAGTGAATTTGAGCACTGACAGCATACTAGACCTATGCTACAGCACTAACTGCATTTACCAGGTAGACACCACCATGAAACACGTGTGTGCTCTGAAGGGCCTGCAGAGGGCTGCAGTGGAGCGGACGGAGGTGCCCCTGCACGGCGTCCTATATACCTCCAAGGGGAAATAAATGCAGAGAAGCAGAGGGGGCTCCCTTTTTTTTTTGTCTTCCTCTTCTGGCCCCCATACACCATCCAAGGCGGCTGGAAGGGGACAGGCTCTGAGGCGATCCGGGAGTAATACGCGGCTCCAGGCAGCCCCTCACCCCTACTAGCCAACTGTGCTCCAGCTGCAGCGGCGCGGCCCGGCTCCGGGCCCTATGCAAATCAGGGATCGGAATTCTCACCAATCAGAGGGAAGCTCCGGCCCTGTATCTGCTAATGGGAGTGAGCGACGCCGCAAGTCTCGGGGCTGGTCGTGGTGCGGCCGGGAGCCAGGTGGGGCCAGCCCCGCCCCGCGGAGCCCTCCCTCCCCGTACTTCTCTGAATTCCTGTGAGCGCCCTCCCTTCCGGCCGGGGGGCGGGGGCGGGGGCGGCTCGGTTCTCTGGAGCCTCGCGTTGTGTGGGCGGGGGCTCTTTCTCTGCGGCCTGAGCTTGTAGGCTGATCTGTTTGGGGGTTTGGTTGTTTTTATTAATTTGCAACTATGAGAAACAGTGGTGAGATAGTAGCAAAAAACAAAGAGAAATTTCATTTTGTTCGTTAAACTTGGAGGAGATATGACCAAATAGTAATACCAGTGAACATTCTAGTAGATGTTGGTAAAATGTTCTATCCTAAAAGAAAAGGCCACACTGACAGGAGACAAGTTTCTGTCTGTCCTCAAGGGGCTCCCCTGTGCGGACACACACGTTGGTGGTCCTCTCCTGACTCCCTATCGGGGACTTCAAACTCCATCGGTACCAGAGGTACAGCTTTACCAAAACTGCTTAATATGCCCCCAAGATTGTGGAAGACAGTTCCCTGTGACCAATCAGATACAGGTGTGCATATCCCTGCTCCCTGCTCTTGTCTGTTGCGCTGACCCGGGAACCTGGAGCCCAGCTGACTTCCTGGCCTCGGGCCATGGCTTGGCTTCTGTCTGCTTTACAGCACAGCAAACTGAGCTTCCCTAGTCCCTAAAATGCGGGGTCATCTTCCAGACCTCAGGGTCGGTGCTGGTGCTAGACCTCCAGTCTGGAATGTCCCTACCAGAAGTTGTTATTTTATCTGTCACTCTCCTGCAAGTGGCTAAGTCCCTATCCCTGCCTCCATCCTATCCATCCCCAGCCTGGCACAGTCTTCGAGAAGGGGGCCCAGACTGGGGGTGCTGAGTGAATGACGGACCAAGCCCTGGACCAGATCTCTTTTTGGTCTCCCATACCTCTGCAAGTATCACTGTCCTCATTTTCCAAATGGAAAGTTGCTGTGGAAAGAACCAGGGCCTCTTTGCTGTCTCACAGCTGAAAGAGCTGCCCAACCCCTAACATGCCCTGGCATCTTTTGCCTGAGACAGGGAGATGATACCTATGACTGTGCTCAGACCCTCCCCAACAGGCCATGAGCTCAGCTCCAAGCCCTGCCGGGGCAGAGAGAGAGGTTCAGGCCAGGTTGGTCCAGAGAAGTTGACTGCGTAGAGTTCCTATTCTACAGGTCACTGAGGCTGTATGGCCTGGGACAGGGCCTTTGCAGTGTGCAGGGCTGTCCTGGAATCAAGGAAAAGGCAGGCCTGAGATGCTGAGGCAGCTCATAGGGAAGAGGCAGCATTACAGGAGTGGCTCTAGTGCTAGGTAGGATGCTACGTCTGAGGGATACAAAGTGTGGTGTGGGGTGACCTAGAGATTCTGGCCAGAGGCAATGTGGTAGCGGGGCAGTGATTAAAGGAAACCTTTTTGGGCTCCATTTATAGACAAGGAAGCTGAAGCTTGGGGAGAACAATCTTGCCCCAGACCAAAAGACCATAGTGGAGCCAGATCCACCATTGTGGTCAGTGTCTGGTGGGGCTGGTCCTGCCTGACCCTCTCCTGATTAAGGGGTGCAGAAAGGAGCTCAGGCCTGGGCTCCCAGACAAGTCCTTTGTCTCCTTCCTGTACCAGGGTCACCTCCCCCAGGAAGCCCTCCTTGGCCTCACAGTGTCAGTTTCCTTCAATATTCAACTAGAATTGAGGATCCTGGAAGCCAAGTCCAGCAGACACTGTATGTAATGGTGGATCCTGGACTCTCCAGCCAGTGTAGCAGCTGAGTTTGGAATTAGACACAACAGATTCAAATTCTGACCTGCCACTTGGGGACTGCATGGCCTCCTAGATTGAGGTAAGACCCATACCCCCTCCTCAGAGCAGCTGATGCTCAGAGAGCACTCAGGGATGGTTGGTCAGTCACATGGCTTCAACTTAGGCTGCCTCCCAGGGACATGGGGCCTACCCACAGAGGTCACATAAAGTCAGAAAGCAGCCCAACTTAAGAGTCTGAGTGAGCAAGCTGGGAAGAAAGGAGAGGAGCCTGTGGGTAGAGTGGAACATTAGAAAGGTGGGTTGGAGGAAGAACAATTTGAAAGGATGACAAGCTCCAGGATGTGCATGTGCAGGTGAGGTCAAAGGAGTGAGAAACCAGAATGCAAGTGACAGAAACTCAATTCCACTGGCTTATGTGAAAAGCAATGGATCTTTTCATAATACCCAGGTCTGTATGAGTTTCAAGCATGGCTGAACACTTAACCTCCTTTCATTGTCAAGCATCTGTCCATTTTCTGGCTCCAACTTTGTCTTGGTTCCTCTCAGGTGGGCTCTATGTGTTGACAAAGAGAGTCACTGTCAACTCTGGCCCCATATCCTTACCATTTTAGTGATCCTAGGGGACAGAGCCCATTTCGCAGTAGTTTCAACCGAGATCCTTGGATTGACTCCTGTCAAGCCCTCCTATCAAGCCCAAGGTTGAGAACCCATTTTTGACCCAATCACTCTGCCCAAGTGAACAACTGACTCAATATTCATTAACCTGGTCTTGGGTCATGTGGTCATCCCCAGGGCTAGAAAAGTCACATACCACCTTCCCAAGACCTCTGTGGCCCACAAAGGGAACAGAGGAAGAGAACAGAGAGGACATAGGGGTAAACTCAGCCCCTAAGGGAAAATTACAGTGATACCGTCAGAAAAGTGAAAGGCCTGCCCCACTGAGGGCTCACATACTCCTGGAGAATGCAGGCTTCAGGGTGAAGACAGCAAGCTGTATTCTCTGACTTTAAGAAATGGAAAGAGGGGTGACAGAAGGTAGAAGTGGGGTGCAGGGCAAGAAGGGCAAAGGCTGCTGGTGAAGGTAGGTAGTTTTTGGTAAGAAATGTGGAACAGCAATGAAGAACCTGCAGGACTTTGGGGCACTGAAGCTCACGGTGAGCCAGGTGGGGGCCTTGGTTAGGGAAGGCAGTTCAGGGAGGGCTCAGGGAAGGAGGAATGAAGCTCAGTGAGCATAGAGTACCCAGTGAACAAGCAGGCAGGAAGGAGCAGCATCCCCTGAGGGCAGATGGTCAGGGGCCTTGGTGGCAAAGGTCCCCTTCCCAGCCCTCTCTGAACCTCAGAACCACCTGGGAGGAGCTGATCAGAAGGCTGATTCCTAGAACCAGAAATTCAGATTTGGGTAACTGGTAAAATCTGGGATTAGAACAAACCCTCCAAGTGTCCCCAGTTTAGGAATGGAAAGTGTGATATGGCTCGGCGCCTATAGCTCAACCGGCTAAGGCGCCAGCCATGTACACCTAAGGTGGCGGGTTCGAATCCCCAGCCCGGACCCGCCAAACAACAATGACGGCTGCAACCAAAAAATAGCCGGGCGTTGTGGCGGGCGCCTGTGGTCCCAGCTACTTGGGAGGCGGAGGCAGGAGACTCGCTTGAGCCCAGGAGTTGGAGGTTGCTGTGAGCTGTAATGCCACGGCACGCTACCCAGGGGGAGAGCTTGAGGCTCTGTCTCAAAAAAAAAAAAAAAAAAAAAAAAGAAAGTGTGATATGAGGCATCACATTTAGCTGGTAACACCATCCCTTCCGAATCCTGGGTACGCCAAGGCTTTTTCTGCCAGCTGCTGGAGGCTAGTCCTGCAGGGAGCACAGGACAGGGGACAGGGCTGGCATACTTTCACCATCAGAACTGCAAGTGAATGAGGCTGTTACTGGTCAGCAGGTGGCGACCACATGGGCTGACTGCAGAGACCACGCTGTCAGCCCCTTAACAGTCTTCAGTCTCAGCTCACCTACCTCCACCTCCTGGGTGTCCACAGACCCCCAGACCTCCTGCAGCCTCAATGCAGTCTGTGTCCCAGTGATGGGCACCTTGTGCCTCCTCTCCACACTCTGGTCTGGAAACTTGGGCAGGACAGCACTTAGGCTGGTTTTGTCCACTGCTGTGTTCTCATTGTGTAGGACAAGGGAGATAGGACTCCCTGTTGGCACCTGGCCATGCAGCTTAGTGAGAAGAGGGAGCAGCCTCCAATGTGATAGATTTGAGTAAGGGAGAGGCCTTTTGCCTAGGTAGTTGAGACCTCTGCCTCCTGACTGCAAACATATATAGAGGCAGAGGGTGGAGACCCAATCAGGAGCATCAACAGGTCAGGGGCTCTTCTCCAGCAGTGCTCCCTTCCCTGCAACCTGCCATTGCCAAAGAGTCCTTTCCCCACCTGCAGTTTCCAGTCTCTTACGCAGGGGGTAAAAAGAGCATCTGTGCCTACATAGCAGTTCCAGCACCTTCCCTATTTTACACTTGTTCCTTCTTAGGGACAGCTGTCAGAACAGACCTTGGCCTGTTGCCCAACTGGATGAATAACTCTCCCATATACCACGCACCAGGGTGCCCCAGATCTGGAAGCCATTCTCTTCTGAATTCCACTAATAATCCTTTGGGTCTCCTTTACATTCCGCATCAGCCAATAGGCAAGAGAGAGTGCCCACCATGCCACACCTCACCAAATTCATAATTAGCACTATGAAGGGTCAGTCTGATGACTAAGAGCTGCCCTGCAGGATGCAAAATTCCACTTTCCTGGCTGGGGACTGGGGGATCCAGACAAATAAAAACAGAACAAACCAGTCCCCTATGCTCCTGCCCCATGCTGGTAGGCCAGTGTCGCTGAAGACACTTCCTCCTCAGGCTGGACCTCCCTCTCTGCCCTTTTACCTCCATCCCAGGAGGTTCCCCTGAAGCTCCTCTTAGGATGCACCTGGACCTCCCTTAACCTGCAGTTTCCACCTCTGGCCCAAGGTCCTCAGTCTCCAGGCTTACCTCGCCAAAACATCTAGGGTATAAGGACTCCTGGGCCCACCATCCAACCCTAATAATGTGCCCATCCCTATTCCACACGGAATAAAAAGAGAGGGATTCAAAGGTTTAAACGTTTTATTGTTCCCAAAAAAAAAAAAAAAAAAAAGCCAATGGAATGAAGGGAAGCGCCGCCAGCCCTGAGCTCGGAGCGATTGTCGCGCACCCAAAAGCGGAGAGTGGGGAATCAGAAAGGGATGCGCGGCCACCGACCACCCGGTGCCTGGGCCCGGGTGGGCAGACACTGCCTCGGCCATTGGCGCCCAGGGGCCGGTAACCATGACGACAGCCGTTGCCAAGGACGAGAGCCAATAGGGGCGTCGCCAGGGCTGTTTCAAAAATCTAAAGCAAACAACGAAAAACGCTACATCGTTGGGGGAGGGGAAGGAAAAAGGGATGGCGGAGACCGGTGGGCCCCTCCCTGCGGCTCAGAGCAGGCGCGGCGGCCCGGGCCCGGGGAAGCCGTACAAAACCTACGTACACTTGGGGTAGAAAAACTGAACACCGAAAAGGCCATGGGGGCCCCGCTGGGCGATCTGACTGGGCCGGCGCGCTCACTTGCGGCCCTTGGGCACTTTGGGGACGCTGGGCTTGGCCGCCTTCTTCACCTTCTTGCCTCCAGCGGCCGCCGCCTTCTTGGCCTTGCTGCCTTTGTCCTTCTTGGAGGCACCACCCTTCTTGTGCGAGCGCTTCTCCGGCTTCTGGCCCCTGGCGGGCTTCTTGTCCGCGCGCCGGGGACCAGCCGCACCCGGGGCCGCCTTCTTGGCTTTGTGTGCCGTTGGAGCCAGGGCGGTGGCAGCCGCGGGGGCTCCGCGCCGCTCCCCGCCGCCCTCCAGCTTCTTGCGGTTGAGCTTGAAGGAGCCGTTGGCTCCAGTACCTTTCACCTGCAGGAGTGTGTCATTCTGCACCAGAGCCTTGATGGAATACTTGAGGTAGGTGCGCCCGTTCTGCTGGTCGAACCACGGCACCTTCTTGGCCTCCGTGTAAATCTTGGCCAGCGACGAGCCGTTGCGCTCTCCTAGTCTGCGGATGGTCTCCACCACCAGCTGACTGTACTTGCCCGGCTGATTCTTCTTCTTGTTCTTTCTCTTCTTGGACGGAGACAGCGCCGCGGAGTTGCTAGCTCTGGTCGCCTTCTTGGCCGCCCGCTCGGCGGTCGTCAGTGGTAGGGCCTCCTCGAGCTCCACAGACATGGTGGCAAGCGGGTTGGTGGAGGGCGGCGCGCGGAAACCGGGAGGCCGCGCCGGGAAGAGGAAGGCGAGAGGCCGAGGGGGTGCCGGGGGACTGGGGGCTCGCGGCGGCTCCAGGCGGGAGCGGCCGCGGCCGGGTCTAGGGCCGGGCGGCAGGGCTGGGGTGGAGACCGGGCCGGGGTGGAGCGGAGCTGGGGACCCGGGGCTGGGGGTTCGAGCTGGAGCGCGGGGGCACCGGGCTCAACTCGCGCCGCTGTTGTCGCTTCCGCCGCCAACTCCAAAGATCTCTGGGCTTGCGCGCTGCGCTCTGGCGAGTAGGGCGCCCCGCTTCGCTTTTATGGCTCCATGGCGGACCACGTTGAGAACAACAACATCCTGGTCCGGAGCCAGCGCCAACTTGTGCTTCTTGGAGCCCCTTTCCCAGCCGCTGGCGTCCCGGACCGCGCCTTCCCGGTGTAGCGGTGCCCACAGCCGTACGCCCCGGACAGGGCCTGAGCCCTAGATGCAGCGGAGAGGCGGCCTGCGCCCAAGAAGGGCTCAGCAAAGGGAAACAGAGATGTGCACCCTAAGCTTCAGGAGCGCCAGAGGAGGGGGCACCCCTGTTGGTGGCCAATAGCATGGGCCTGGAGGGAGGCTGCAAGGCCTGGAGCTTTATGGATGGCACCCAAGAGTGCACCACGGGCACCCAAGCCCTGGCCTAGCCCAGGGGACCCTAGGCCCACCCGCAGGACGAACTTTAATTTGTCCAAACTAGCACAGGGCACGCCCTCACGTGGTCGGCTGGGGCAACATGAAACTGCAGGAGGATGCTTCGAGGAGGGTCTCGGCCTGATCCAAAGGGGGATAGCCAGCCAGAGGCACCTTCGAGCTGCGCGCGTAGGCTCTAGTTGTGCCTTGGGGACCTGGGCGCAATACAGGGGCTGGGGGATGGTGGCTGCAGGAGCCCCTCTGGGGACATTGCCTTGTTGCTGCCATCCTTGTCACTGATGCCCCATTTTGTGTTGTGCGAGCAGCCACTGCCAGCTCCAGGGTGGGGCAGGGTGGGGCAGGGTGGGCGAGCTCCCCTGGACAGTTCCCATGATAGATTGGAGGAGGGGAGTTGTTTTTAGTTCCTGGCCGCACTCCTCCCCTTCTGGCGTGGGAAGGGAAATTATTCAGGGAACGCAGAAAAGCAGAGTGGGTTCTGGAGAGGGGTCTCCAGCCCCCACCCTCTATGGGCAGGCGAAGTCCTCCTGTAGGCTTTAAGTCTAGTGGTTCTAAGTTCTCTTGGATCCAATACTGAGGGTGCAGAAGAAACACTGGACAGTCTCTCTCGAAGCCAAAGAAACCTCTACTTGGGAAAGCTAAGACCAGAGCGAGACGCTCAGGGAGGAGAAGGCGTCCCTAATGATTTTAAGGCACAGGACTGTGTGGTGTGCCATGGAAGGGGTACAGGCAGTAAACAATCTCTTGAGGCCTCAGCATGCCAGAGCCATAGAGGGGTGAGGCAGGACAGGGTGCTGGGTCCCGGGAAGATGGAAGGGTACATATACAGGTAGAGCTGGGGGCCGGAAAAGGGGTGGTGAGTGGGCACATTGTGGCCTTGCGCCTAAGCAGGTCCTCTGGGTGAAGCTGGCAGCCCCTCCTCTTCTCCAGCTCATGCCTGTCATGGGGACAGATCATAAGTGGTCTTATACCACAGACCCCCTTTGGTCCTCCTGACAGGTGAGTAAACCCTGGAGATGAGGACATTGAGGCCAGGTGGGAAAGATGAGTGGATGGAGGTGTTTTCTTGGGGGGTGGGGGTGGTGTTTAGGGACACACAGCCAGAAAAGAGGCTGGCTTCCAGGGCAGTGGGTACAGGAGGGAAGAGAGATCTCAGCCCAGGTCCCCTTAAAGAAGGATGACCCCACCCTCAAGAAGGACCCACTGAGGGGACTGTCTGCCTAGGGACAGGAAAAAGGAAAACCCTGAGGGCCTAGACCTCAGCCAGGTGATGAAAGACTTGTCCAAATTACCGAAAAGGGAGGTGGCATGGATTTCTCGAAGTATCACTGAGCTGAACCTTGGAGATAGCCTTGCCGAGTGTGAAGGGTCTTGCTGAAACTGTACAGCTGCTTCCAGGCAGGGCTGCAGGAAGGATGAGCAGCCAGGTGTGGGTGCCCGGGCCCAGTGAGGAGTGTGCCCAAGAACAAGAGCCACCCAAGGATGAGCAGAGAGCACTAGGGAGAGGAATGTGGTGACCATAGCTAGGCTAGACCACAGTGCATAGAGATGCCCACCTGTGGGATGGGATGGACAGGGAAACTCAGGAACCTAGGTGGAGGGAGGCAGCTAGGTGATTGGCCAAGAGCACCTTGAGCTGGACCAAGGTGGAGTAAAGGGCGATGGCCCTGAGGGAGCCTAGCCATGGGCAGCAAGCCTCGGCTTCCCGCAGACTAAGATTTGTCCAGCCACCACAGGGAGTGACATTGCTGGAGGTGTAAATGTCGAGCTAGGTGCAGCAGCAGGCTGGGTCAGGGACATACTCCCTAGGGCCACCCATGGAGGGGAAGGGAAGATGTGCTACTGGAGACCGAGGAAGAACGGTCAGAGAGGAAGGAGGGGACCCAAGTGTGGCCCGTGTCATGGAAGCTTCAGAGTTTTAAGAGATCTGGGCTGGTCCACCGAGGTAGGATCACTTGAGCCCACGAGTTTGAGGTTGCAGTGAGAGTTATGATGATGCCTCTGCACTCTAACTGGGGGACAAAGTCAGACTCCATCTCAAAACAAACAAAACCCCAGGATAATTTCAGAAAAAAAATGTAATCTAGACTTTAGATATTCTTTTAAAAGATCTGAAGATGTGGTCTGGGGAGGTAGGGGGAGTAGCATCTTGCCCCAGGCCAGGGGCCTCCCAGTACCTGGTCAGTTAGGGAGAGAAGGTTCTCAAGCCCTGGAGGAGTCTGGTCTTGACTGGGGGAGAATAGAAATCAGTGGCACCTACAGGCGTGAAGGTTTGTCCCGGGCTGTCGAGGAGGACATAAGACATGATTCAGACTCCAGTCCAGCCTGGTGAGCTGGTCCTTGGCCTGTGAGGACCAGCTTTTTCCCAGAGCGGGGCTGTTGATGGACCAGGGCTCAGGAAGACACTAATTCTAGGCTTTGAGAATTAGCAAAGACCAAGTGGTCTTATACCACTGGCCTCATTATACAGATGAGGAAACTGAGGCCTGGGCAGGGCAGAGCAGGATTCAGGCAGGGGTCCTGGCCAGCCTTTCAGGACTTCTAAGAACCCTACACTCCTGGTATCCCCCTCCTGTCACCCCAAGGAAACCACAGGTGGGCAGAGCCCTAACTAGTCAACGAAAAATGGCAAAATATGAAAAAAGGAACATCTGGAAGTGGCCAGGGCCTAGCAGAGACCAAGGCAGGGCCATGTGCTCACCACCTGAATAGCTCCATCCCCTAGGCTTGGCTAGTCTGGAGGAAACCTTGGGCCTGTGAGCCCATGAAGTTTCTGGGTGCAAGGTCTGGAAAGGGCTCATTGCTGGCCCCGCCCTAGGTGATCCTGTCCAGTCCTGGGGCTCCAAACACCATCCATATGCTGATGGCGCCCGCTCCTCTCTCCTGGGCGAACTCCTGCCCCACCAACACCCTTCCGGGTCTGTGTGTAGCTAGCACAGAACCTGCTCCTGCCAGCTCAGACAGGGGTCTAGCCAGAGGCAGGGGATGCTGCCCTGATTTCTTTTTTTTTTCCCTCCCCTCTCATCCAGCCCATGGCTTCCTGTCATCTACCCCCAAATGCTGCCTCCACTTCATCCAAGCCCCAGACCCCCTGCCCACCCATCTTTCCCCTGCGGCCTCTGCTTCTCTCACACAGCTCCTGACACAAGTCTGACCTGGTGAGTCCTGGCTCTGCTAAAAGGCCTCCAGCAGCTTCTCCTCAGACTTGGGATGAAGTCTGCACCAGCCCCTGGCAGGTGGCACAGGGAGGCCCTTGACCTGGCTCTCCTGTGCTCTGTGCTCAGCCACACTGGCCTTTTTGTTCCTCACACATACCCAGAGGGCTCCCACCTCAGGACCTTTGGACTCCTCCCCAGAGTTCCTACTGGAACACCCAGCTTGATTTTCTTCATAGCACTTATCATCATCAGACCCATTTGGCCTGTTGCCATATGTGCTGGGAGCTCTTTAGGAGCAGGTCTGGGGCGGCCTTGTCCCTGGTCTAAGGACTCAGGCAAGAGTGGCTCCCAACACAGGCTCACCTGCAGCAGCAGTGACAACAGGGAGGACTGGGAGTCAGGAGCCCCTGGCCTGCTTGGACAGACCCTGGCTCTCTCACACACACCCCCGCACCCTGCCCCCAGTGCCCAGCCTGTTTCCCAGTTTGTAAAGGGGGCTGGATATGTGGAGTTTGGATGATCCTGCCAGTTTTGACAGTCTGATTCAGCTTTGACGATATGAAAATTTAGCCTGGCTAGGGGAGGAGAGGTGTTGAATATGAGGACAGGCCTGGGCAAGCGGGATTGGGATCCCAACCCTGGGCTCTGAGGGGGCTGCTGTGCCCCTTTGGGCCTCATCGTTATCTGTAAAAGGGATCTACGCAGAGAGCACCTTGGAGGGTTTCTGAAGGCCTGGGCAGGAGCCCAGTGGGGGTGTGGCTGAAAGGTGCTGCCAGTCACAAGCTCTGGGAGCAGGGAGAGGGGGACAGGATTTGGAAGAGTAGGGAGGTCAAGGTTTGGCCTGAGGGTCTCTGATGCAAAAGGGCAGTAGGCCTGGGGCCAGGCTTCTGGGAGATAACAGGGCCACAGAGCCTGCCTCCCCCAGGGTGTTTTAATCAAGGTGAGCTCCTACCTAAATCGATTCTGGGAAGAGAGGGGTGAGGCCCAGGTTTGGGACTAAAATGTAAATAGAAGGGCATTAAGTGTTTTTCACTATTTAAGGGGAGACAAAGGAAATTCACCAGACAGAACTATGGAGAAGTTGCCTTTAAGATGCAAATGTGTATTGTGAAGCCCTGAATGAGGGACATTGTTAGGGGCTGGGCCCCTCTTCCCCACTATGGCTGGGCGGTGAGCTCTGAGGAGCCCGTGGGTCTGAGGAAACCTAGGTGCTCAGGCTGGAGATCAAAGGATCTGAAGAGGATGCTGAGATAGAGAGAATACAAGATGTGGGATTGAGATAAAACAGTTCCCGAGGCCACCTTGGAGACAGCCCAGGGGCCCCTCCCTGCTTGCGAGAGTTAGAGGAGCTACTGGGCCTGGGTCTGGGTCCACAGCTGGGAGCAAGGCTGCAGACCTTGTGTGAATGGGAGGAGGGGCTT